GGCATAACTGGCCGACCCCTCACAGTGTTCAAGAGAGAACTGGATAAACACCTCCAAAGGATACCTGATCAACCAGCTGTGACTCATGCGTCAGACTGCGAGCAGCCGCGTCCAACAGCCTGGTTGACCAGTCCAGCAACCAGGAGATTTGGTCGAGGACCGGGCCGCGGGGAAGCTGATCCTCGGAACCAATGCAAGGTAAAGTAGGCCAGGCGGGAAGGTTGGAGTCTCCTTATACAGATCCAGAAAAGCTTATCCGTAGCAACTTCTAATATGAACTAATCATACCATGATGTTTACTGAGGTGGTGCAGGCCCTCAGAGCTACGTCTCAAGACTCCTGCAGGGCCTTAGTGCTGCCCTCTGGCGCTCGTGTACACACACACACACACACACACACACACACACACACGGGACCAAAGAGCCAAAGCTCAACCCCCGCAAGCACAATTAGGTGAGTACACACACACACACACACACACACACACACACACACACACACACACACACACACACACACACACACACACGGACGTGACAATGGATGGGGTCTCGTGTCGGCGGCTTCTTCACACTCGCCACGCGACATAAATTTAGTGTAACCAAGTTGTATATGTAACGGTCTCCGTAACTCACTGTCACCGCCCTGTGTGTGTGTGTGTGTGTGTGTGTGTGTGTGTGTGTGTGTGTGTGTGTGTGTGTGTGTGTGTGTGTGTGTGTGTGTGTGTGTGTGTGTGTGTGTGTGTTTACTAGTTGTGTTTTTGCGGGGGTTGAGCTTTGCTCTTTCGGGCCGCCTCTCAACTGTCAATCAACTGTTTACTAACTACTTTTTTTTTTCCACACCACACACACACACACACACCCCAGGAAGCAGCCCGTGACAGCTGACTAACTCCCAGGTACCTATTTACTGCTAGGTAATCAGGGTGACAGAAATTGCCCGTTGTTTCTCGCCGGCGCCGGGAATCGAACCCCGGACCACAGAACCACGTGTCCATCGTGCTGTTCACTCAGCCACCGGGCCCCCAGCCCAGCCTGGCACTATATGGCTGGGTCGTAGAACACCAGAGGATGCAATAAAGCCATAATCTGAGAGCAAAATAAAGGTATTATCAAGGGTGTCAATATTGTTGCTCACTAACAGCCCCATTAAAGCCGCTGAAGCTGGTGATCAGGGCCCAGATTCACGAAAGCACTTACGCAAGCACTTACGAACCTGTACATCTTTTCTCAATCTTTGGCGGCTTTGTTCCCAATTATTAAACAGTTAATGAGCTCCGAAGCACCAGGAGGCTGTTTATAACAATAACAACAGTTGAATGGGAAGTTTTCATGCTTGTAAACTGTTTAATAAATGTAACCAAAGCCGTTAAAGATTGGGGAAAGATGTACACGTTCGCAAGTGCTTGTGTAAGTGCTTTCGTGAATCTGGCCCCTGGAGAACATGCAGAGAGCGTTTACTGCCACAGTCCATTCCATAAATTATCTAAGTAATTGTGACTGTTTAAAATCACTGTACTCGATCCTTGCAGCTCCAGCAGGAGAGTTACATAAGAATTTGCAATTGAACAAATATACGAGGTCTGGTCCCACATCAATACACGGAAGTAATTCCTTACGAGACCAGGAGCTAAATTAGCCTCTATTAAAAAAGCAGAGGTGCAGTAGGTAAGCTAATAGAGATAACTCTTATCACCCTAAGGGCCCAAAAAAAAGGCCACTCTCCCTCTACACATAAGGGTCATTACTGGCCGCCCTCTCACGGTTTTCAAAAGGTAATTTGATAAAGACTTCCAAGAGGATAACTGATCAACCGGGCTGTACATCATACGTCAGACTGCGAGCCGCGACGTCCAACAGCCTGGTTGACCAGACCACCTGCCTGAAGGTCTGATCAGAGACTGGGTTGCAGGGACATTGATCTGTGGAACAACCTCAAGGGTAAGATAACTAAGTCTTCTAAACTTCTCCTACTTTACAGACGCAAGATAACCTAACATTGAGGAGTAAATGTTATGACTCAATGTCTGACGAGCTGTTCCCTCGAGGCAGTTAACTCCGAGCAAGTGACAGGATGAACAACCCAGCTGGTTTTCTTCCTGTTGAGGGGGGTGATGAACATGTTACTATGGCAGTGTGTTCACTCACAAGCTGAGTGACTACCTTGAGGTTACCTTACCTTGAGGTGCTTCCGGGGCTTAGCGTCCCCGCGGCCCGGTCGTCGACCAGGCCTCCTACCCAATTAATTCAATCTTCGGGATAAAATTCAAAGGAAAATTAAACTCCTCCAGTAGTGCGCGCCCTCCCATCCTAGCCGGCGACGGCCAGAGCGACAATCGATGCCTTCCGATGTCCGCCAACCTTCAGCGCATCCGCTAAGCGTCACTAGACACCGTCTTTGGCTTAGTACCGCCCCAGCGCCTCGCCACCACGGCCCTGCAGACGAGGTCCCTGCAGACCCCTGCAGACGAGGACCCTGCAGACGAGGACCCTGCAGACCCTGCAGACGAGGACCCTGCAGACCCTGCAGACGAGGACCCTGCAGACCCTGCAGACGAGGACCCTGCAGACGAGGACCCTGCAGACCCCTGCAGACGAGGACCCTGCAGACCCTGCAGACAAGGACCCTTCCTCACCGGGGAAGGAAACACCATGATTAATGGGATCGCGTCAACGGATTGTGCACGAGCTCGGGTCGGTCCCTTACCAAAAAAAGGTGACTAAGGAAGATAAATGCGACAATCAATCATTATTTAGCTGCGATGTGAGTGAGCACACATCATAGGCCTAGTGTGTGAGTCTTGGTAAGTCTTAGCACCTGCACCTCCTCCTCCCCGGCCGGGCGTGACTAAGATGAACTGCTGCTCCCTGCTGTGTTTGTCTCCACCCGCTCTTAAACCTACAGGGGGAGATGGTTTGAGATCAACGTGGCATTGGTCTCGGCAGGTAATGCTGCTGCCATTTACGAATAATGGAGGAATGTTGTGGAGGCCTACTCAAGCCTCCCTGGTAATTAAGCTGCTTGAAGATGCGGTACCTTGAAGGTGGCGGAGGTGCTGGTAACCGGACACCAGCCGGATAACAAAGGTTCTCAGGTTACACTGGCCTGTCGTCTTCAGGGAACTGCTTGTCCAGGTTACACACCACACACACACACACACACACACACACACACACACACACACACACACACACACACACACACACACACACACTAACCATTTACTCCAGACAATTTCAGACACTTTAATGAAATTTACTACTTATTAATTTATATTTAAAACTATTCAACTATTTGTAGTTGGTAAACTGTATTAAGACTGCAGAGGATGACACATTTAATATAATTTGAAACTTTATTAAAAATAAAGCATTTCATTTCAGCGAAACGAGGATTCAGTTCAATATGTTTCACCGAACCCGCCCGTCCTCATCACCGAAGGCCAAATACTTGTTAATCCAGCCGCCAAACCAGCTGTTTATGCATGAAAAAAAAAATGGTGTACATACGACTGATAACCGTTCTACCCATAGTCAAGTTCCATTGCTCTCCCCCACCTTGTACTGCCAACGTTGTCAAGCTTCTCAAGAATCATTCTTCCGTGTTCTTCAAACGTCTTCAGCCAGTAACTTGGTATCAAGGCACCTCCAGCCACCATTAACACAAGACGCTCTACCCGGCACGCAATCCATTTTCTTCTCGCTAAAAACAGATCGATCACCCCTTACCTTGATTGATCAACGCGTAATACCCCAGATACCCCAGAGCCGCATCGCCCGCGGAGCTGCCTGCCGTTCACATACCCCAAACATCTCAAGGAATATTAGCACCCCTTAGACAGTCAGTGAACCCGGCCCCAGGAGCTGAAGCCTGTGGAAGGAACACAAATCTTGCCTCGTCTAAATCTTCCTGGAGAAGTGGAGTGCAAACCAGCTCAAGTACGCTCCGTGTATCTTAATTAAATCTTTCCTGGCAAATCTTGTACTTCAGATATTTCAGAGAGAAGACGGTCTGTTTTTCTCACCAAGATCTGCAAGTTAAGTGCATACATCATCGCGGTGTGACTCATTTAATTATCAGCTTGCAAGATAAATCTCTTCTGTTAAAAAAAAACACATAAAACTCCAACATTTAAGCATTACCCTCAAACGCTGGTGCAATGGCTGGGTGCGCGACTCTTGCATCTTGGCTCTGGGTTCGAAACCCGAGTGACTTTTAAAATAATGATAGATAATTAATATTATTTTTGGAATGGCGGGTGTCATAGGTTTTTCTTAGTAGCTATAATCTATAAAACTTAATCATTTATATATTTAATCAAAATCCATCAGCTTACCACTATTATATATATATATATATATATATATATATATATATATATATATTATATATATATACACACAATTAAAAGTATAAAGCCCGGTCATCATTAATATAATGAAGACCTTCACAACCACACACCAAGACATTGTAGTTATACTCACTATCATCATTATTTTTAATATTCTTCATAGCTCAAATTATTTAATTATCCCGCTTACATGAATACTTTACTGGTGGAGGATGTCCATAGTTGAGTTACCCCTCGCAGCCTGGCGTGGGTCTACCAGCCCAGCGTGGGTCTACCAGCCTGGCGTGGGTCTACCAGCCTGGCGTGGGTCTACCAGCCTGGTGTGGGTCTACCAGCCTGGTGTGGGTCTATCAGCCTGGCGTGGGTCTACCAGCCCAGCGTGGGTCTACCAGCCTGGCGTGGGTCTACCAGCCTGGTGTGGGTCTACCAGCCTGGTGTGGGTCTATCAGCCTGGC